TGTTGCCAGCTTTACCGCTGTGTGTATTTATTGATATAACATCGGAAAATATTTAACCGATTGCTTACCAGAATAAATCTTCCTGATGCTAACTTGCTAGCTCGGATCGTGGTTTTCTAATCCAGGATGACACGGAAGTTCTACCGGTCCTATAGGAGGATCTATTGTTGAAAAATGGGGATCATCTTTAAGATTGTGTGTGTGTGTGTGTGTGTGTGTGTGTGTGTGTGTGTGTGTGTGTGTGTGTGTGTGTGTGTGTGTGTGTGTGTGTGTGTGTGTGTGTGTGTGTGTGTGTGTGTGTGTGTGTGTGTGTCGTAGCTTTCACAAATTACTTGTTTATTCTTTACCGGAGCTAGCACGGTTAGTGCTGCGGCAGTCATGCTAACGTGACTCGCCTGCTGGAGTCCAGAAGTACCGGTGCGGTTCTAAATGGATTTATAGATGTAGGTTATTATTTTAGATCAAACCTATGTTAGTTAAAAATACGTGTAGGACACGGACATATGGCTCAGACCTTTAGCTGCAGCTGTAAACGCAATTTTCTGTTTTAATTAGGAACACGATAGTAAACAAAATACAGTGATTTACCATGCTAGCAACAGCAGCTACCGAGTATGATGTGTGTGAGTGGCGTTTGCAAAACGCAGTTATTCACTGCCTGGAGGAGAGAATTTTGATTTTCTGTAATGATTTATGACTTAATTCCTTAACAAAATGAAAAACTGAACCCAGTTCATATTTATATAGATGGTAAAGTGTAGTTATACTGTATTTCTACAATTTTAATGCTGAGTCTGGCCACTACTATACTTCGCAACTTTAAGCACTGCTTACACATCCAGCAGAAAGTCTGTGTAATAATATAGCTAAAGTAGGGATGCACAATATATGTTCATTTTTTAACATATCGGTATGGTCAGATATATAAAACTGGGTTGATTTAATATTTTTTCCATCTTATTTCCATTTATTTATCTGTTTCAGAGGGTGAGGAGGTGATGTGTATTTGTTTAGTCATGTGACGTGCTTGTAATCATCTCAGCATCATAAAAGTGTGTGGTGTGAACATAATAGCTTTTAGAAGCATTAATGTCAGTATATCGGTATCGGTGATATTAATATCGGATGAAGAAGAAGAAGAAGACAATCTTTTGTATAGCGTCTCTCAAGATAAAAATCACAAGGCACTTCACAAAAACAAAAATTTAAAATAATAATTAAAAAATTAAAAATTCTACTAAAGTATAAAAACATTTCTAAAATTATTAAAAATATGTTTAAAGAAGAAAAGAACAAAAAATAGTTAGGAAATGGAGAAAGAAAATGAATAGGAAAGAGGGAAAATCAATGGGGCATCAATTAGGGGCAGCAGTAGCTGAGCGGGTTGTCCAGTAATCGGAAGGTTGCAGGTTCGATCCCGGCTCCGGACAGAGAATTCTGCTGTTGTGTCCTTGGGCAAGACACTTAACCCACCTGCTGGTGGTGGTCGGAGGGAGCCTGTGCTCTGTCAGCGCGCCCCAGGGCAGCTGTGGCTACATCGTAGCTCATCCCCACCAGTGTGTGAATGTGTGTGTGAATGGATGAATGATACACTGTAGTGTAAAGCGCTTTGGAGTCCTTACTCTGAGAGGCGATATACAAGTGCGGGTCATTTATCATTATTTATCATCTAGGAAAAAGCGGAATGAGAACCGAATACGGAGAGGGTGGTGACGAAGGAAACGCAAAAAAAATCCAATACCGGTATCGGCCCAAAAAATATCATCCTGGTGCATCCCTATGCTAAAGTCATAACTGCTGTGAAACATTTTGGACTACAGCTGTTCTCAGACAGAAGGAGCCTGTGGCAGCTCTCAGACTAGCTGTTAGCTCATCAGTCTGACTAAACAGAGGCTGATCAGGAAGCTACACCGTGCCAAAGCGGACGGGGTGTATGCTTCTATGTGTATGCGAACATCAACGCCATGACACAAGAGAAGCTGTGGTTCTACAACGTTTTGGGAAATTAAAAACATGAACTTTTACTCTGCTCTTTTGTGTTCTTTGTAATTTTGGCATTTTCACAAGAAGTTTGCAACATCTATTAAATTAGCCGGAGTTTGTTTTCCTGTCTATTTTCCAAAGCAAAACTCATCTTGTGCAGCTCTACAAATTTAGGCCGGTTTCTCATTATGTCACAATGTATTTGGGCTGACTGGGATTAACTTTGCACAGCTGTGAAGTGAAGTGCATGAGATACTGCCGTTTGGCTTTAAGCATCAGTGACTAGGCACGATTCCAGGCCTGTCCCTGTGCGTGGACACAACACTGATGGTGAATCATGGTGACAGTTTAATGCTGAATAAGGCACTTTTTAATCTTAATTTCAATGCTCTTGGATGATAACTGTTTTATTCTGGAGAAGGTTGTCCAACGGCAGCATCAAGTCAGGATTTTGCTCTTGTTAAAGTTGATAAAGTGGTCAGATTATAGGTGAACAGGTAAAATATTAGTGTTTGGCTGAAGATGTCTGGGTCAGATAGATTACAGCTTTGCACCTCCGTCTAATTCAGCGATAAAACAAAAGCACAACACTGATTTAACAGAGATAACATCACCCTCAGCCCAGCGTGTGCTGCAGGAAATTAATCCACAACAAACTGTGTCCATGAATCAACACACCTGTGCACAACATTGTGCATGTAAACCTGATCTACTGTTCTTCTTAAATCTAAACGTAGAAGTGAGATTTAATAATTAACACAAAGGTGAGATGGTGCAGAACAATTCTGAGAGAAAGTGAGAGCAGATCTCCCCTGGCTCCTCCTGTGAGGAGGAGTTGATACAATTTGCCAGGGTAAACAAAAGTAAAGTGAGAGCACAAGGCTATCCAGACTTACCTGGAATGCTTCTTTTTAGGAATTTTATTAAAGCGTAGTTAAGAAATATGTCTTCTTGATACAGGATGGTTCTGAAATGTAGTTTTTTATAAGAAATTTTGACCTTTTTTAACTTCTCTTGGGTGTTTGGGTCATTTTTAGAGAACACTACACTAAATGATAACTGTCACCAGAAGGTGTCCGGTGTTTACAATAAGTCCAGTGGAAGGAAGCAGACTGGATGTTGGAGGGGCGGCGCCATGAAATGTAGCTGTGGGTGGAACCAGTGGGAAATCACCAGCACCTATCCCTCATCAACACAATCATTCCAGATCCCCTCAAGTCAGTGACTTTAGGGATCCTGATGGGATCCGTTAATGATGTTATGGTATGAGATGAAACCTCACAAAGACGGGTGCTAGATGTTGCATGAACCGGATCGCATATGGAGCTTTGAGAGATGTCAGGAGCTTTATCTGCTGCCTGAAGATAATCGCATTTAAAGGTCCAGAGACAAGACGTGGTGTTTTTCCAAGGAAAGCCTGTGGCTGTGCAGTCAGAGGAGCTGCTTTACCTTCTCCAATAAACCTCGCAGCTGACCAGAAAATCTGCTGCGCCTCAAAGGAAAAGCGACCATCAAATTTTAATTCTGTTTATGCCGACGTTCCTGGTGCTCGTCCGGCGTGCCTGCTGCGCCTCGGCGCACACACGGAGGAAAACATACATGTGGACACTGAAGTTCCAGTACTCACTGCGGCTGCGGTGTGACCCCTCGGTTGTGAAAGAAGCTCTCTGTAAAACAGGGGGAGGAAAATCTCCTTCAGTTATTCTGCTGCTGTCGGAGCTCGAAGTCACGCAGCGTCACGTAGCGGACTCTGGGACAAAGTTAACGGGCAGTGTTGGGCTGTCACCTTCTGTCTCTCCCTGTTTTCCGTCTTGGCCCGCTCTTCCACTGGAGACTTCCCCGCTGCTCTGCTGCTCGGGCACTCCCGTGACGTAGAAAACGGTGGAGCGCGCGCCTACCACACGTACCTCCTTGTAGGGCAAGCCGTTGTATCATATAATTGGTACAACTGTGTCTTAAAAATATATATAGTTATAATGATACCAGTGATACAAGTGGTATCACTATAACTATATATTTGTTTGAGATGCAGATGTACATCTCCTTTAAGCCCCATGAGATGTCTAAGCTGCAGCTGTTACACACCTGCTTAGACTCGATCAAAACCTGGATGGCTGGGAGCTTTCTTCAGCTGAATGAAGATAAGACTGAGAACCTCATCTGTGCCCCAGACAAGCTGGTTCCCAAAGTCAGAGACTCTCTTGCTCTTGGTTTATACGCCAAACCTTCCGTCAGGAATCTTGGCGTGACCTTTGACCCAGCTCTCTCCCTGGATTCTCATTTCAGTTCTCTTGTTCGCTCTTCCTTCTTCCATCTCAGGAACATTGCTAAGCTGAGTCCCATTCTGTCCCACTCTGAACTTGAGACAGTTATCCACACCTTCATCTCCTCACGCTTAGACTACTGTAACTCTCTTTTCACGTGTCTGAGCAGAACCTCCCTGAACCGTCTACAGGTGGTTCAGAATGCCTGTGCTCGGCTTCTGACCAAGTCCTCCAAACACACCCACATCACCCCACTTCTCCTCCAGCTTCACTGGCTGCCAGTCAACTTCAGGGTTCATTTCAAGATCCTGGTTCTGGTCTATAGGGCCTTACATGGACAAGCACCATCTTACATTGGTGATCTTCTTAGTCCCTATACCCCCAGCAGGTCCCTGAGATCCAGTGATCAAAGCCTACTGGTTGTGCAGTGCACCAGGCTAAAGACCAAAGGTGACAGATCATTTGCTGCTGTGGCCCCCAGACTCTGGAACTCTCTCCCCCTGAGCCTGAGATCAGTGGACTCAGTGGTCTCCTTCAAAAAGCAGCTGAAGACTCACTTGTTCAAGCTGGCTTTTGTATGACCTTCTTCACCACTCTCTCTTTATTCTGCTCTCCCCACCTATTCCACCTTCCTCAGGATCCACTGATTTCCCTCTTTCCTATTCACTCTCTCTCTTTAACATTTTTTCTTTTAAATCACAATTGCTTATTCTTGCTCATTTTACATATATTTTTAAACATTTTTGAAATGCTTTTTTATATTTTTACAATTTTTATATTTTTTGTTTTTGTTTTTGTGAAGCGCCTCGTGATTTTTATCTTGAGAGGCGCTATAGAAATGATATTTTTCTTTCTTTCTTTCTATATGATACAACGGCTTGGTACATGGTGGCGCAGTTGTTCGCACTGTTGCCTCGCAGTACGAAGGTTGCAGGTTCGAAACTCGGCTGCGGCCTTTCTGCGCGGAGTTGCGTGTTCTCCCCATGCATGCGTGGGTTTCCTCCGGGTACTCCGGTTTACCCTCACAGATCACAACATGCCCTATGGGTTATAAATTGTAAGTGGCTTTGGATAAAAGCGTCTGCCAATTAAATAACACACACACACACACACACACACACACACACATATATATATATATATATATATATATATATATATATATATATATATATATATATATATATATATATTACACACACACACACAGTGGGATGCAACAATTTGGGAAGCCTTGTTAATCTTCATGATTTTCCTGTATAAATCGTTGGTTGTTACAATAAAAAATTGCATCACAATATAAACACACACAGTGATATTTGAGGAGTTAAATGTTTATAGGATTTACAAGAGGTGTGCAATAAATGTGTAAACAAATTTAGGCAGGTGCATAAATTTGGGCACTGTTATTTTTTTAGTTCCAAAACCTTTAGAACTATTTACTGAAATTCAAAATTGGTTTGGTAAGCTCAGTAACCCTTGAATCCAATTATGAGAGTATTTAAGATGGGCAATTGTAAGTTACCCTCCTTTTTGAGGGAAGTCACAATATAAATGCTGGAAGATTATTGGGACATTTTATTCATGTCTCTTTTTCAACTTTGACATTTTTTTAAATATCCAAAATATGTTGTTTTCAGATTGTCAGATAAATCTAAAAAATGCAAAAAGCTTCTGATTAAATCTTGTTCTTTTTCCTTCATTGATAAAACTCACAGCACCACTTATTCCTATAGAGTAGAAGTTAGCGATTCATGCTATCTAATCAGAGATAAAAGCCCTTAAACAGCTGACTTTCGACAGTTTGGACGCAACTAAATCAATGAGATGCCTACTTCCATCTAATCTCTGCAGTCATCATCTATGTTCCTAGAGACTGTTTTCCTGCAGCAGACCAATATTTCTGCCATGGAAAGGCTTTCTAATGTTGCATAAATAACACAAGAGACAGTGTATAAAAAGGGAACACAGCCTGGTTCCACATTGATGGATATTAATTGTGACACGATGCCCAAAGAATAATACCAATGGCATTAAAGTTCACCTTCAGTCTCTGTTGAATTTTTTTTACTCGTTTTCACTTGCTCAGAAATTGGATTTCTCCGAATACTGAATATGACAACCTATTGCCTGACATAATGTATGTTTGTATAAAAATAAAATAAAAACAGTCTTTCTTGACCTCACTTAAAATAAATAGTATTCATAAAAAATAAAACACACAGAGCCAGCAGTGTACAACAAACCTTAATATCTTCATCTTTAGCCAGTGGCGTGTCTAGATCTATTAAAATGGGGTGGCCCAGGTGAGGCACAACTTTGTGCACGGGTGGCACCAGTGGTTATGCTTTTTTGTTTTACCCTCAAGCCTTTTGTAGACAATGAAAAGCCTTTTTAAAGGTAAATTAGTGTGGTGGCACCTTGGGTGGCCAATCAGATTCCAAGGGTGGCATGTGCCACCCCAGGCCACTCCCTGGACACGCCCCTGTCTTTAGCTGATACAAACTCAAAATAGTGACTATTTCCAGTTAGAAAACGCACCTCTCTCTCCTCCCGCCATTGTTGATCACGCTGTAGAATAAGGGGTTGGCAACCTTTTCCCATCAAAGAGCCATTATTACCCATTTCCCACAGTAAAGAAAACACGGAGCCGCAGCGGCGTTGTGGGCGGGGCCTACCCTCAGAGAGCAGAGAGCTGCTTTAACTGATCACAACAGGTGACAGCAACCAATACCAGTCGTTCATGTACCTTTAAGTTACCTTTCAACAGAAAATAATAAATAAAACAGTTAGTATAAAATTGACCCAGAACTTGTCGCCCGTCTAGTACTTAGATATTTTTCATCCTGTTAGCGGTTTTAGTGTTGAGCAGGTGATGACTGGATATTTCCCGTATTTGATCGTTTATTTTGACGGAGAAACCTCAAGGCTGCAGATGCGCTGATAGTTTTATTGTTACCCACCCACGTCGCGGAGGTAGCTACACCAATCAAGTAAAGATTCCCATCAGAACATCTGAGCTGGACACTGCTCCGCGCAGCTCGCTGTCAGCGCACACGTGAGGTGGACAGCAAGCTGAAGATGTGTAGATCAGGGACTTGGAGCGCGTTGCAGAACCAGAGCCATGCGTGGAGGTTCTCTCACTGAAGCGAGTGTTTCTCAAGCCCTGTCTCTCAGAGAGACTCGTCACTTAGAAAATGTTCCCTGGTTATGAAACTTTGGCTGAATAGCGCTTGTTCCTGTCTCCAACGTGGTGACGCATCCATGAGCCTGTCTGAGGAAAAGTCCAGAATCTCATGTGAGCTGTCAACCGTTGGACCTGTTCAGGTTTACGCAGACAATCATTACATTTAGGATTGGGATACAGATAAAAATGAATGCAGTAAAATAAAAATATATATTTTAATTAAAAAGTCATTCATTATTTTACAAGCAGAGAGCCACATTAGATGGATGAAAGAGCCGCATGCGGCTCCAGAGTGCATTGTGTGTAGCCAGCTTTCCAGTTTTATGTTCTTTATTGTGCGTTTTGTTGGGGTTTTATTGCAGGGTTGTGTTTGATGTTTAAGTCGTTTATTCGGTAATATGACTGTGCTTTTTTAGTTGGTTTTAATCTTGCAACACGAGTAGAAGAAAAAAATCAGAGTAAAGGATAAAATAACGCAGTATGGCTTGGACAAGCAACTTTAATTTGATTGCTAGAATGGAAATAGTAACGCGTTAGATTGGTCGTTACCAAGAAATGATGCTATATTAGAGTAACGCGTCACTTTGTAACGCGTTACTGGCATCACTGGTGGATGATTATTGTCTATATCACACACTTGTGTTCAGCTACTCGCCATCCTAAGGAAACACAGCCCATAAACACACAGTCATGCCATGTCCCAGTTCCCAGGGCGCCAGTCAGACAGAAAGCAGAGGTAAAAATAGTCCTCGGGCTTAAGTTCCCCACAAGAGAAACACAACAGTAGAGGTGGGCCAAAACCCGTCTGACTTAACCAGCCCTTAACTTTCACTGGTCTTTAGGGTTACCGGTGCGTAAATAGACACAACCTAATTAAAACTGAAATGCAATCTCTATTAAAATAATCTCTCATTTTACAGGAATTCAGTTAAATGCTAAATTCTAAGATAAATGGCCTGCATTTGTACAGTGCCTTCTTAGGGTTCTTCAAACCCCCCAAGGTGCGTCACAACACAATCAGCCATTCACACATACATTCATACACTCTTGCCCAAGGACACAACAGCAGCATTCTCTGGTCGGAGCCAGGATCAAACCTGCAACCTTCTCATTACTGGACAATCCACTCAACATCCTGAGCTACTGCTGTCCCTGAGTTCTTTTATCAGTCAAAATAGCAAACCTTAAGTGTTTAATTTTTAGGACTACTTAAAGTACCTGTATAAGATTCAACTTCAGCATTAAAAACTTTATCATTCTCTACATACAGAGCATTTAGACAAAATGATGCTTTGTGCTAAAGCATAAAGAACTTAAATCACCAAATAAAATGATTATTTTGTGATTCATTAAAATTTGGTATA